AAGCAGTGGTATCAACGCAGAGTACTAATGTCGATGTCAGATGTCCTCGTCTGCAAAGAGACGGAACCTGACATCGACATTGGGATTGGCTCGTTGCTGTTTAAAGAAGGTACAGGGGATTCCGACAGCGATTTGGCCTCTACAGATCCTTCTAACTTCAAAGTAAGACCAAGCATAAGTTCCGTAGGAGGACCAACGGATAGAATTGGGTGGTTCATAACATCAATACTCACACAACTACTCAAGTTCATCCCTTCTCACCTGGCAAATACGAAAATGTTTTTGGAACGTTTCCGGGGAACATGCATAAATAGCGAGTGTGTCATAGAATCATTCGACGTCAATGCGCTTTACACGAACGTTCCAAACGAATCCGCATTGCAAGCTGTGCATGAGCTTCTTGTAGAAAACGAGAATTCTATCAATCTTTACGGGCTTTCAGTACAGCAAATTATGACTCTCTTGCAAGCATGTCTAAATTGCAACGTTTTCAAGTGGTGCGGTAACTATTATGCGCGGAAGAGAGGATTAGCCATAAAGCAAAAGCAGTGGTATCAACGCAGAGTACTGAAAATCGAAGCACCGGTACTAGGCGGCTCTTTGTTATACTGCCGCTATATTGACGATTGCTTCGTAGTCTGTGCCTCTCAAGAAGACATGGATAAGTGTTTCAAAATCTTGAACGAGCAGGGTGTGTGCCTTTCTGAACCGCTCCGTCCTAGCGCTAATTACTCTGCCCGGGCAACTAATTACGTCGCCTTTCTTATAATATAGCAGAGTTTTCAAATTTCTGAGCGTTCCCAAGTGAGGCACACGACAAGTCTGCACGTGTAAGCTGAAGAATTTACCTAAGCCGCCCAAATAAAACATTTTCGAGTTTCAATTATAGTGAGGATTTTTGAATTATGAAGACAAAAAGTTGGAAAGGTTGCATGTTTCTAAGGCCATTTCGTGATTTCTTCGCCCTTCTTAGTTTTCAAAACACCATGAAGTCTGCACTTGTAAGCTGAAGAATTTACCTGAGCCGCCCAAATAAAACATTTTCGAGTTTCATGGGAATCGTAATCTTGTTTGATTCTTTTATCATGAGAATGCCTTTGCAGTCCAATTCAGACGTCTCTAACGGCAGCGTAGCTCTCGCTTACCCAAGCGGCGGCAGCACCGACCAATCAAAGGCGCGCAGTAATTAGGCTGCTAGTGTTAGCGGTTCAGAAGGGCCGTCTCCCGAACGAGCAATCTCAATACATATGATTGACGAGAGAGAAGCCAAAAGATCAATGGCTGCCATTCTTGAACGTGCAGGTAAATATCACTTCTGGTGCGCACGCAACAAAGTGGTACCGTAAGCCCAGCACCAAAAATATTCTAGTCCATTCACTTTCGGCTCATCCGCCTTGGACGAAGAGAGCAGTTATCAGCAACATGTTTCGCACTGCTTCTCTGGTCTGTAGTGGTCCGAAAGAAAAGGCAGAATCGATGGCGCTTTCCCGTAGTATAGCGGCTTCTAATGGATATACACATGCAGGAATAACAAAGAGAAGCAGTAGAGATCACGTGCGAGCAGATGCCCCTCACGTTACTGAAAAAGTTACATTTTGCATCCCATATGTATCTAAAGAAATGAGTGCATCATTGCGACAGTGCTTGAGAAGAGTAGGATTTGAGAATCTGGTTACGATTGTTGAACTACCGCCAAACAACCTGAAAACCATCTTAGTTCGCAATCGCTTGTATGATCGCAATTGTGTCACCCCGAATTGCATAATCTGCCCTGCAAGCAGAGAAGGGGATTGCATGGCAACTGGAGTCATCTACTTAATCTCATGCACGACTTTCGGTGAGGAATACATAGGGGAAACAGCACTCCACTATGTATCCGTATCAAAGAGCATATAGACGGCAGAGATAAGGCACGTACATCGACCTCCCTAGGCACCCACAGAGTAGCGCAACATGCAGGATCAAACTTTGAGATTTCTGTGAGAATCTTGGCCTATGAATCCCAGACACAAGCACGTAAGTGTTTGGAAGCGTTCTGGATTCATACCAGAAACCCAAGAATGAACCGAAAAGAGGAAAACCTAGCGATTACGCATGAACTTTCTCCTTATCTAGACCAGTTATTTTGATCTGGTAGTATATAAGTAGCGGTCTGCATGCACGTCTAACAAGTCAAATTTTCTCTATCACCGGACGACGTGACCCATTTCCTCTGAAGAGGAGTATCGGCGTAATCCAAAGGGTACGTGCTTGACCGTGCAGCTGAACTAGTGATCGAAAACGAGGTCTAGCATTTCGTCTGTTCAGCTGTGGAGGTGCCGGTTCGAATTGGGTGCAAATCGTATTGTCCCTTACAGGCTCTGACGAAGGCGATCTGCCGAAACGTTAGCCGTGGATCAAATAAATCGATTACCAATCTCGTGTATGGCTTAAGAAGAAAGAACAAAATATAGCGAAACTTTTGATTCAAAGAGGATAGACCAAGTCAAAAACGGAGAAGTCGTCCACGTTCTAAAAACGCGAATTCATGTAAATCCACAGCATAACGACCAGCTCAATCGATCGCCGTGACGTCTTCGAAGAGTTTTTTATGCACAAAGTTAGAAAGTTTGACAAAGATATTGCACGCACAGAGTCCAAACTTAGCGTCATATGCTTTTCTCTGCGCTGTAAGAAAGCCATTTTCTTTTTATTGTATTCAATCTGGACTTTGAGTGTATGTGTCGTTTATGCCCGCTTTATGATTGCTAACATGATTTACAGCGCCTTTCTTGCTTTTCGCTTCAAAACAAGTCTTGCAGCTCTCATGATTTTTACTCTGGGCCTGGTTTGATGACATTCCATTCGCGTTTTATCTCTTAAACAATATCCAGCTCGCCGAAGTAGCACCTGTGCCGAGAGCAGAATGAGGTGACACAAGGGTATGGGTATTTAGCAGCGCAAAGCTCAAAAAAGCTTAGTGGAAAGGGCTTTTGCATTGGTGCTGTATATCAAAGAGCTGGATAGAAAAATCCGACACTTGCGGAAGCTATCAAATTGCTGCTGCGCTAGTCCTCTCGAGTCTCCTTTTTCAAAAAGCAGCTAACTCTGTAATACTCAATTTTTTAAGATACGACTGATCAGGCAATTGTCATAATTCTCTTTATTTCAGAATGAAGTGGGCCCTTATTGCCCCTCTGCTTCTTTTCAAGATTGGCACAGTGATAAGTGTCTGCGAAGGAATGGATAGCAAAGATCCTCTTGTCAAAAAATTGGCCGATGAAGGATGTAACTCTCATTGTAAGGCAAAGGTGAAAGCATAATTTGTAATTGTTTCTACCGGTGATGGCCCTTCTCGTAAAAAAAGGTGGGGGGGGGGGGATTTTCTAAGTAAAAAAGCGTTATGGTACGGAAGTTAACTTTTACGCCGGTGTACCGTAACAGCCGGTTTATACAGTTTTCAAAATTTGGTTATACTATACAAACAACTTTAGCCAGCTTCAACCCTGTCCAATTCAAAATTGACTGTTTAAAGCAGCATCCGCGGAAGTCCGATTTGGGTAGCGCTGATTTCATCAAGAATTTCCGACACTTATTCAGTCTCTTTTAAAATTATTAGAATCACCGACGATTGACGTTAAGGGGCTACCGTAATCCTGCAGGGGCAGTCGCGGTCTGGTCTATATTGTAAATCAAACTGAAGCTATCTTTTAAGTCTTATACACTGAAACCCAAAACCAAACAAAAGAAATTGAGACAAAGGAGATAAAAAAACAAGGTACATTCTTTTATTAGGTTGGAAAGAAAGCTCTCGGACATCGCCTTTAGGAAAAGCTTTCGTTTTGATGTAAGCACTAATTGGGGCTTGCTGCACACCATTGGTTAAATGAAAGCAGTCTTGACAAAACTATGGCAAGCGCAAGCCTTATCATTGTTCTCAGTGAATTCAAGCGCAAAATCTCAAGCATAGGTTTTTGCCCTAATCCAAATCTCCAACTTCTATAAACGTTATGAAACCTCACTTGTCTCAGTTTACAGTATACACAAACTTGCATACAGGCTGCTGCACGACGAAGACGCAATATCTTTCGAGGCGAACCGGCTTTATTAGCCACAGAGCGCATAAGGCGCAGAATTTACAACGGTGTAGATACGCGCGCGCCGCGTTCGCGCCTGTTCAGCCGAAAGGTTTCTACGCCTTCGTCATGCAGTAGCCTTCACCTACGTGCACGCTTCGGATGAAATTTGAACCTAAACAACAAGAAAAGCGAGGTAATTGGAAAGTAACAAACTCCGCCTCCGTTGACTCCAGGCTCCTCCAATTGCTTAGGTTTCAGCCACAGACAAGTGAGAGTGCGACCGCAAATTTTCCCTTAATGCATTAGATTTCGAGATATAACGGATTTGATTTGAAAATTTTTAGAAAAACTTCTTTCCAACCTAATAGAACACCTTGTATTAGCAATGCCATGCAGAAGGCACAGCATCCAAAGCGAACTTCACAGAAGATTTTAGTCTAGTTTTTAGTCTAGTTGCATTATTTGTTTGACTTTTTTGATCGAATTTGATTTGCTGATTTTTCTGTTGATTCAGAATTCATACATTCAATAATTGTCCCCTGACTTCTTCACTTATAAAAAATTTAAAACAGCCTCGAAAATAGAGGCACCTCAAAAAGAAAAAAATGGGTAGCATGGTGGTGACCCGAGATGACCACTGTGATAGGTCAATATCGAGAACTTGTTTTATAGTATGAAAGTCCTGAAGTGCTAGCTCAGGATGGTATTCAGGGTCAAGCGTGTGATGCGACTGTCGCAACGGGGGTCGTAAAGGGGGCATCGGAGGTGGCGGGGGGGGGGAGGATCGTAAGAGAGGGTGGTCCGAATAATAAAAAAGTGGAATGTAGGAAATAAGCTTCTCAGTCGCAAACATCCTCTACTTTTGTAAATCAGCATTTTTCTACCTGCTAAAAGGGTGTTGTAGACGGGAATCGAACTTGCTGGCCACAATTATGACCGAAGATTCAAAAGGCACTTTCAGAAGTCAAACACTAGGCATGTATGTGTGACAAGAATGTTAAATGTACCAATTGGCTTAGAAATCCTGGTTCGGAAGCATCACTGAATTCTCACACACTCGGCGAAAGCGGTATCTTTTTTGAAGCTCGATTTCTCAATTCAGGTATATTCGAAAAACTTATTTGAACATGCAATAAGTAATCAATATTTATTCTAAACAGTAGCTATGTTTTCAAAGGAATTTTTTCATTTGTGCCTGCATTGTGGTCAAGAAAGTTGGAGCAATGAAATTTCCATTTTGAGTGCGGCTGTGCAAAATGCTGGTGAAAATCTCAAAGATGAGATAAAAGCTTAATCTCACCACCGTTAGAAAGTACATGAAGTACTTTCCAATTATGTGCAGAATCTATATCGAAAGAGAAAGTCTGAAGGAGAAAATTCGTTTGGATTATACGCCTAGAAAAACGGAAATTTTTTTGCAACAACCTAATACTTCGGAATTGCTCTGCTACAGTTGTACAAAATCTGGTTATATTCCGTAGCTTTGAATTTTTTTGAAATCTTCTACATGGCAACAAAAAATGAAAAAGGGGGTCGTATCTGGGTCTCATCTAAATTTGTTCGCCGCTATGGAGGCTTGTTTGCTGCAATTTTGCTGTATTACGACGCCATCCTCCTTCTTCGTTTCCTGAAAGTTTCCAGCTGTTTCGTTGCGTCTCCACTGAGTTAAGGAATTTTGAGCTCAAAAATCCCATTTTTGGCTGCTAGGATCGCATATAAATTTGCTAAAGTTCTAAATTTTTTCGAGCTTACTGCACCTGTGTGGCTGCAATTTTTACTTTCAGTTGTCTGGACACTATACTACAAAACCTGCTCATTGCAGCTTCTCAGTCTTCCCCTGACTCTGGTTACGAATTTTCAAAGTACCGTGCTCATGCACGATTTTGACATCGTTCTGGACGGCGCTAAAACGGTTTTTATAGGAAAATATGTGCAAAAGGTCTCTCTCTCTGTGGTGCAAAAATATCATTTTTTTCTCTATGCAAAGATTGGTGTCGTATGCTGGAACCGAGTTTGTTAGCCTGAAGTATGCCTGAAAAACCGAAAAAAAACTTGCGGAAACTTAAACATTATTGTAGGTGTGTATTTGTGCTAAAGATGTTGGACGTACCCATTGGCCTAAAAATTCTGCTTCCGAAGCCTCACTGAGGTCTCTCACACTCGACGAAAACTTATGTCCTTACTAAGGTGACCGTCATTAATTTGAAACATTTTTGTAGTGCTTTTCATATGGCCCTTACAATCTACCTGCACTTCTGAAAAGTCCTACCATATCTGTGCAAAATCCGGTGTTATTTTGTAAACTGTGGATTTTTTTTTCAATGATTTTATGTATGGTAGCAAAAAATGAGAAAAAGGAGGACGTATCTGGGTCGCATCCAAATTTCTCCAGAGCTATTGAAGCTTGTTGTCTGCAATCTTGCTGCAGTACAAGGTCATCCTCCTACTTTCCATCGTAGAAGTATCAGGCTGTTTCTCCGGTGAGATATAAAATTTGAGCTCAAAAATCCGATTTTGGCTCTTAGGATTGCATCTAAATCTGCGAGAGTCGCATCTGAATTTTTTCGAGTTCACTGCTCTTCAATGACTAAAACTGTTTCCACGGATAGCCTAGGCACCATGCTACAAAAACCTGTTTATTGGAGCCTCTCAATCCTCTCCTGACTTTAGTTACGAATTTTCAAAATACCGTGCTCATGCACGGTATTGACATCGTTCTGTATGGCGCTGAAACGGTTTTCTACAAGAAAATATGTGCAAAAGGAGGAAATAAGTCTTTCAGTCGAAAACATATTTTACGCCTCAAGGATATCGTTTTTTCCTGTAAAAAAATAGTGTCGCGTACGAGCAGGAAACACGAGACTGTCATTACAGTCTAAAACGTTTAATTCCAGAACCATTGTCAATATCTTTCGGTACCACTACATGAATGAGTATGCCCAATATTCATAAACGGCAGAAGAGTTTCATCTGTTACTAGAAAATGATTTATAAAAAAATAGTCAATTATAATGAATGAAGTGAACCATTCCCGTGCTGAATATTCATGGTTGTTATTGATTGGAGGGAGGGGGGGGGGGGGTATGTGGGGGATATGTGGGGGGGGGGGGGGTCGTAGGGATTGGTACTTCAAGGGGAGGAAGGTCGTAAAAGAGGGCCTAGGATCGCATCAACACGCTTGACCCTGATGGCATTATAGACTAGTTAAACAGTTGTTTGAAAGTGTATTTGCAGGAGCGTTCCATGCGGGAGCCGTGCGGTTTTCATTTTCACCTTTTTGAATAGTTTTGAGTAGGCACAACGATTCATTATATATAGATACAGAGTTTCTACAAGAAAAATTGCAAACTAATCATGAGTTTTTTAGAAGATGGGCAGCGGCTCTTGCAAGAAAATGGGCGTGCATAAGGCGTGCATGTGTATATCTTCGGCTCCTTTGTACTTGGATTAATCCAGCTATCTCATTGCTCTGTGCCATCGTAATTTCTGCTTTGAGAAACATAATAAACGAGAATTTGACAAGTGTTCTGGACGCTTGGTTCTCATTGCTGCTTCTCAGATAATTGCCAGGGGCAGGCGGTCCGCAAACTCGAGCTTTTCTGCAAGCGGTCAGCACGATTTTGGGTCGTGGCCAAACCACTTCAATGTGACGAGACTGCTGGTTGAGAATGTTAAAACAGATATCCAGCTCTCCTTGGGCGGAGCATACTATGCAGCAGTCATCGACGTAACGTCAAAAGAGAAGTGGTTTCCTTGCCATGTTTTTGCTGCTGGGCTTGCGATACGAAGTTCTTCAACCATTCTCTGACAACTGCATTTCGACATTCAGGAACAGCAACTATTGTCACAGCCATTCGTCGCAAAAGTTGCTTATGACCCGCCCTCCAAAGTGTATGTGTGCGAAGTTTGCTCCGGATCGGTTAAGGAACGATTTTGTTTCGAATACACACACAACACACACAACACACAGCACATAACACACACAACACACACAACACACACAACACACACGCAACACACACAACACATACAACACACACAACACACACACAACACACAACACACACAACACACACGCAACACACACAACACCCACAACACACACGACACACACAACACAAAACACATAACACACACAAGACACACAACACACAACACATAACACACACAAGACACACACAACACATAACACACACAAGACACACACAACACACACAACACACACAACACACACAACACACACACACAAACAAGCAGCTTTGAATATAAGATTGCGGAAAACATGTTGAAAGTGGAAAACTTCGAAAACTTTATCTGTTCTATCTAGTACTTTATCTCGTCACATTGAAGTTAAACGGGAGAAGCTTAGTGACAATGGCTACTGTTCCTGGATGTCGAAATTTAGTTGTCAGAGAATGGTTGGAGGACTTGGTATCGCAAGCCCAGCAGCAAGAACATGGCAAGGAAACCACTTCTCTTTTGTCGTTACGTCGACTGCTGCATAATATGCTCCGCCCAAGGAGAGCTGGATATCTGTCTGTTCTAACATCCTCAACCAGCAATCTCGTCACATTAAAGTGAAACGAGGGAACCCAATAACAATTGGCTGCCGTATTAGAATGTCGAAATGCAGTTGTCAGAGGATGGTTGGAGAACTTGGGATCGGAAGGATCTATGATATATATATGTCAATGTATCAAGTTGAAAAACCAGTTACAATACGTTCAGAACAGCTGTGAAGGTGTCCTCTAACGCTATGATCTATCTAAATTTTCTCACTGGCTTACCCGGCTCCCCGGCCCCGTCAAAACGTTATGATAAAGTAAGTTGAATGCTCTTTTGTCTTTGAATCTTGGCATGATAAGATGTCAGTAGATAATTGTGTCAGTAGTTTATGCCTTCAGATTCTGTGGTGGAGACTTTATTGACCTTACGTTTCGACAATGTCGTCGTCATCAGAGGTCTCGACTCCACCGGCTAGCGACAAGCCCGCACATTTGGTCGTCTCGTCACTCTCGTCACTCTCTCGTCACTCGTCACTCGTGACGCCCGTTACGACCAAATGTGCGGGCTTGTCGCTAGCCGGTGGAGTCGAGACCTCTGATGACGACGACATTGTCGAAACGTAAGGTCAATAAAGTCTCCACCACAGAATCTGAAGGCATAAACTACTGACACAGTTATGATAAAGGTTTTATCCCTTACCCTGTACAGCTTTTCCCCGTGCCCACTTCTACACGTCAGTTTCCAATTCCTGCTGTGTTAGTTATCTCTGTGCCAACTCCCAACCCCATAGCTCAAATTTTGCAAAAAAATCGGTGAATTTAATATAAGTAACGTATAATTTTGAAAATTAGCGTGCTAATTAGCGTGCTCGATTACCTCCCTCTGCCAACTTCCCAGCCCACAAATCAAACTTATTGATCGATGTTGAAAAGCCGCCTGCGACACCCGCCCAGGGCCCGGCTCAGATCGTCTGGAAGCAGGCTGAACTTTGTTTTTGGAGCAAAATGCAAAGGGGTTATCGTTTTTGACGAGTCCGGGCAGAGCACAAAGAATAAGCACCATTTAATTAAACACAAGCTTTTCGGACAGGTTATCACACATTGACATGCTCTATCGCGCATGGCGAAAAGTGCGCGCGATTTGAAGGCAAGGCTTAAATAAACAAATCGCTTGTTTGCAGCGCACACAGAAGCATATGACACCAAAATTGATCTGTGTGTATAGAAAACTATTTGCGAAAAGACTATGTAAAACGATTTGAAAACTTATGTGAAGTAATACCTTTTCCAAAATCAGATCGTCTCCAGACGGCCACCAGACGATCTGAGATCGTCTGGAGCATATATTTTCGTCACTTCACATAAGTTTCGGATCTTTTTAGCATGGACGGATTCCACGGTTAAAAATCTATCCCTGAGCATGAAGACATTTTCATATCATTACCTTTCCTTTGTTTTTTGAATTCATTTCTTCTCGCTTTGTTAAATATCGCGCTCTAATGCCAAAGTCTTGTGCATGCCTAGTATTCAGCTCCAACTTCCGGATTTTCACTCTTATCTTACGTTTTTTTCTTTCAGACTAGTAAATCTTTCTTGTTTTCATCTTCTTCTAAGCAAGTAGGTTAAAGGGGACTTCGTAAATCTTTCAAAAGTCAGGGGAGACTTCGTTTTCAGAAACCCTAGAATCCGACTCGTGCCGGGCCCTGCACCCGCCCCGCCCCGAAGAAGTGTATGTATGCAAAGTTTGGTACGGATCGGTTTAAAAATAAAATTTTCTATTCGGAACATACGTACATACAGACAGAAAGACAAAGAGACATCCATCTTTATACAGAACGAGCTGACATTCCGGGTTCCACCCCGTTCTGGAGCCCTTCGATTGTGCTTGATCTCTCATGGGACAACCTCTGTAATCGTGTGCATTCTCAGTACAGATTCAAATTTAAAGACGGTAATACAACGGATTTACATGCTGACTTGTCCTTTGGGTAATTTCAAAAGTACGTCCTTCACATCATTCCTATCCGCTCTAAATCTTACCAATGCGACTCTTCTTCTGAAAACTCACAATTAGTTAAGCAAAACCATTAGACTCCTTGTTGTAGATAGTTTGTATCTGACATAGCATTCTGAGCTAGCACTTCAAGACTTTTTTAGAAGAATCAAATACGTCTCGATCTTTAACAATTACAATGATTAGCCTGGGTCAGTGCCATGTTATCAAATTTTTCAAATCTTTTTTGAGGTGCCTCCTCACTTTATTGATTTTTCTTGTATTATTCACATTGTTGATTTTTCTTGAATTATTTGTTAGTAAAGAAGGCAGGTAACATTTAATGGTATGTTTGCAGTTTGAGTGAAGAGAAAAATGCTTCAGCCAACGCCATGTGATCAAAAATGTCGGTATTGTAATTGGAACAGATGTCAGAAGTTTGATGAAACCAACGTAGCTAATGCGGATTCGGGATTTTGTTGAATCTCAAGGGGATAAACCTGCTTGTATGGCACATTTTAGGACTTGTTAAATACCGCTTTTTTCCTCAGTAATTCTGGAACCACTATTCATAGCAACACACAAAAATTAGTCCTTTACCTTCTTAACGCAATAAGAGAGGCATGCTTCTGAGGTAAATTTCCTGACAATGGGATATTTGTCATCAGGGTCAAGCGTGGGGTGTGGCACGCCACACCTGAGGGTCGTATTGAAGAGTCAAAAGGGGAGGGGGGGGGGGAGAGGGTCGTAGTTGGCTAATCTGATAATAGTGATAACATGGTATTCGTATCATATCCATAGCATGTCAATTAACCCCTGTAAACAAAGTTTGAGCGAATTCTGAAGATTCAAGGTACTAGGCTACCTAAGTGACATGGTCATTTTCCAACATGATTAACTTTGTTTCAAAGGTGAATAAGCCATCCGTTCTTTTTTGTCCATCTCAGAAATTGCGCTACAAAAGACCTCCAAACTGTGGAATTAGAAGCCAGCCAAAATTTCATTTTTCCCATTTTTCGCTTTTAATGGCTGTGCTCCCCCACAATGGTCGGCCGCCTCATCGTGGCGTGGGGGTGACACTGGGTGTCGAACTGCGATGCACAGCCGAGTGTATACTCTGGCAGGGCCTCCCAAGCTGTGAAGGAGTTCGACGTTTCCGGTTTCGGCCGGATGCCTAGCTAAGAGCCGGCCAGGCCAGATCCGCCGCCGTCTGGTTTTCAGGTCGCTAGGCGGTTCTCCCCGCTCCAAGCCCGGGGTCAGCGATCGCCCCGTGGAAATCAAGAGTTGGCCTAGTAAGTCTGCTCTTGTAGGGGAAAAAATTTCATTACTCTACCAGTTAGAAGAAGAGAAAGAAACCCTGTACATCGGATCCCGCCTACGGCGCCGGGTGGTAGCAAGACTGATGTCAGGGTCCTCAGGGCGCCTTTTGGATTGGACAAAAACGACACGTCTGCCCGGACGACACGCCACGGAGACTGCCTCATGCTCTGCACCTACAACGCCAGGACAGTCTCCACAAACGCCGACCTCCACGCTCTTCTCGACGCTGCAGAGCACATCAAGTACCACATCATCGCTCTACAGGAAACGAAGTCCAGGAAGAAGGACGTGCGACAGATGAATGATGGAACACTCATCATTCGTGGTGAGAAGGTTCCATCACGAAACGTGGGAGGTGTTGGCTTTGTCGTCCACCCATCTATCGTCCATCTTGTCGATTCGCACGAGATCCTATCACCCCGACTAGCCATCCTACGACTACGCCCTCCACGTCAGAAGACCATCAGCATCATCAACTGCTACTCTCCAACATCAGCAGCTGACGACTCAGAACTAGATGCTTTCTACGAAGACGTGGAGGAGGTCGTCCGCAACGAAAAGTCCTTCTACAAGTATGTTGTGGGCGACTTCAATGCGAAAATCGGGATGCCACTAGAAAAGGAATATAGGATCGGGAAGTTTGGATATGGGCTCCGGAACGAAAACGGCAACCGTCTTGTTGGGCTTCTCTCCGCCGCACGACTTTT